TCATACGGATTGGGCAATTCTTAACATTCTTTTTGAATGTCACAGGTGAATATGCTGCATATCTACACAAAGTGTGGTGTATGGAGATCCTTTCGTAATGACAAGTGGAAATTTATTGTTGATAAAGAAAAGTGTGGTAGATTGCTTACTTTGAAGTCGACTACTACTCTTAGCTTGAAGAGCTAAAATTGATGGTTTCAGAAGATTACGAGATAGAACATGGTATGTTTAATATGGAATTCAGTTATTTGCCTTATGATTTGATCAGTGCAGGAGTTCCTCCCGTTATCATTACAAACAATAGGGAAGTGACAAATTTGGTTGGCCACTTGAGATAGAACACTACGATACAGTTGTGCATAACATTTAAAGCAAAAATTGATTTGAATGCGGAGCCACACGATTCAAGAGATGAAGGATATGATTATAATCTACTTGATCTACCTGAATGTGTAAATGTGGCTAAACAGAATGATGACGTCAAAGCTGATCATTTGTATGCTGAAGTTGGCGATGATGATGATAATTTAGTGTTTGAAAACGTTGATGATGGTGAGAAGAAAAATTATCGGATGGTAGACTCATTTAAGAAAGGGGAATATTTCAAAAGAAAGGAAGATCTGAAGAAAGTTTTACACGATGAAGCATAATTTTGATTACATAGTTGCTAAATCAGATACGAGATGGTGGTGTATACGATGCAAAGACAATGTCTGCAAATGGAGAGTTCGTGCAGAGTATTCAATGGGGTCTACATATTACCGTATCAATAAGTATGTCGCTGAACATACATGTGCTCCTTCAAAGAAAAGTAAGTTCTCGATCGAGGAAAGCTTCAGCAAAAACAATTTGACATCTTATTATGAAAATATACGAGGGTGTGAAGGAAGGGGCTAAACCGAATGATAATTGAGCTCCATAATGAAGAATATAGCTATGCCTAAATTGAAATTAATCAACTAACCAATTGACTAAGACTTTGACTATTTTACCTTTGGTTGACTATCTCATTGCATATGTTAATACGTCC